AATTTTTTTTTTCAACCTTTATTTATTTTTGGGACAGAGAGAGACAGAGCATGAACGGGCGAGGGGCAGAGAGAGAGGGAGACACAAAATCGGAAACAGGCTCCAGGCTCTGAGCCATCAGCCCAGAGCCCAACGCGGGGCTCGAACTCCCGGACTGCGAGATCGTGACCTGGCTGAAGTCGGACGCTTAACCGACTGCGCCACCCAGGCGCCCCGACATTTTTCCTTTTTAAAATTTACGGATGTACCTTAGTCCTGCCTTAAGACCCCTATACACTGGAGTTTTAGAAACACACAGAGGGTTCACATCCCAGTTGTTTAAAATGAAATCAACTGACCTCTGAGACCATGAAGCTGCTCATAGCCCTGTAAAGTTAGAAAAGCTTTTTGCTCATTCCGTTGAGAAGAGGTTGCATATGTTGATGGGTGATGAATGGTTGTCTTAAAAGTAACCTGATGATCAGTATGGAGACTCTCTGTGTAGGACCCATCACCTGACCGGGCCAGATGCACGAACAGTGTCCACACCATCTGTTCTACTTCATCCTCCAGGGATCCCACAGCATCATGTCAGGGCCTTCTCTTTCCACAGAGGACTTATGGGGGTAAGGATCTAGGGATTCAGGAGGGAAAAATTATACAGAACCACAGAATTTAGAGTTGAGGAAAGTCACCCATCAAATAAGCCCCAAGCTCTGTGTTGAGGTTTATTATTTATCACATTGCCTAGGGTAAGCAATAACTTCCCAGTAACAGGTAATCAAAACAACTACCTTCAGAAGCCCATTGATGGTTTAGTAAATAGGTCTGATCTTGAAACAGAACAAAAAACTCTTAAATGTTATGCTTTCACTTTGGCAGAGGTCTGCAGATCTAATTAATTTTTCACACAGTGTGATGATGTCTTTGAAAGAAGAGAATAGCAATCTTCCAGGTTTTGTATAATTGGCCTATTACTGCATTTATGTAAACCTACTCCTAGACCTGGCCACTCGGTTCAGGACCCCTGACCTGACATCCATCACTCAGTACACACTACTATACAACCAGTCTTTTTCTTTTTTTTTTCCAAAAATTTTTTAAAATTCTAGTTAGTTAAGAGTGAAATATTGGTTTCAGGAGTAGAATTCAGTGGTTCATCACTTAGATACAACACCCCGTGCTCATCATAACAAGTGTTCTCCTAGATGGGTGTCATCACCCATCTAGCTCATCTCCCACCCTGCCGCCCTCCATCAACCCTCAGTTTGTTTAATGTTCATCTGCTTTGTTTCCTAAATTCCACATGAGTGAATATGGTGTTTATCTTTTTCGGACTGATTTCGTTTAGCATCATACTCTAGTTCCACCCATGTCATTGCAAATGGCAAGATTTCATTCTTTTTGATGGCTGAGTAATATTCCATTGTGTGTGTATATGTGTGTGTGTGTGTGTGTGTGTGTGTGTGTGTGTGTATACACGTGTGTGTTTGTGTGTGCATGTGTTCTTCATCCATCAGTCAGTGGACGCATGAGTTCTGTCCATAGTTTGGCTATTGGTAGCACTGCTGTAAACATCGGGGTGCATGTGCCCCTTCGAACCTGTATTTTTGTATCCTTGTGGGAAATACCTAATAGTGCAGTTGGTGAATCAAAGTTCTATTTTGTAATTTCAGAGGAACTGCTATACTGTTTTCCTGAGTGGCTGCACCAGTTTGCATTCCCACCAACCGTGCAAGAGGGTTCCCTTTTCTCTGCATCTTAGCAACACTTGTTTTTTGTATTGTTAAGTTTAACCATTCTGACAGGCATGAGGTGGTACCTTATTGTGGTTTTGATTTGCAGTTCCCTGATGATGAGTGATGTGGAGTATCTTTTCATGTATGCCCAGTCTTCTTTTTTTTTTTTTTTAATTTTTTTTTCAATGTTTATTTATTTTTGGGACAGAGAGAGACAGAGCATGAACAGGGGAGGGGCAGAGAGAGAGGGAGACACAGAATCGGAAACAGGCTCCAGGCTCCGAGCCGTCAGCCCAGAGCCCGACGCGGGGCTCGAACCCACGGACCGTGAGATCGTGACCTGGCTGAAGTCGGACGCTTAACCGACTGCGCCACCCAGGCACCCCTGCCCAGTCTTCTTAAACATGACTGAACACACAGAGTCCGCCCTGGTCCACTTGCTTCTCTTCATACCCCCACCCCCCAAAATGTACATGGTTCATGATTCCCTACCACTCAGAATAGCAGCCAGGAAAACACGAGCAGACAGATGCCTTAAGAGAAAGAAGCAAAGTGGGTAGGGGTGGGACAGAAGGAGCTGGCAGGCATAAGAAATAGAAGTAAATGAAGAAATGATTGAAGGGTCACAGGTATGTGTTATTTCCCATCTTTAACATATTTTTTAAACCTGAAAGTTGCTTTTACACATGTCCTGATAAAATTGGGAGAGGAGCTCACCTTTAAGACTACATACTAAACTACTAAATATGGCACAAAACCCTGTTTGTAGCAGTTACCTTTGGGGAAGAGGATGGAAGCGAGGGAGTGGATGAGTGGTGATAGGGACTGTGATGTTTTAAACTGGTTTTTGGGGGGTCCTCTCCTCTCTCCTCCCCTCCCTCTCATAAACATAAAAAAAATAGTAAACTCTGGTTTTGTATTGACTGAGGTTATTTTTGTATGAGAATGGATCAGTGTGTGGAATATGGAATTAAGGAATTAATACAACTGGAATTAAGGATGGGAAAATTTGAGTCCCAGTCCTGTCCAAAGGTACCTGGGTGAGAAGTCTCTAGTGTCTGGCCATTGTGATCGCATCATCATTTTAACCACAATCTGACCATCTGTTCTCCAGATTGAGGGCAGCGACTGTGAATGCAACCCTACTGGGAAGAACTTTCCTGAAAACCAAATTCTGATCAAGCGAATGATGATCAAGTGTGCCGATGTCGCCAACCCATGCCGCCCCCTGGACCTGTGCATTGAATGGGCTGGGAGGATCTCTGAGGAGTATTTTGCACAGGTATACTGCCTCTCTAGGGAAGCTCCACTTCTCTTCTAGAAACGGCTTCTGGTTCCCTCAGGAGTCATGAATGTGGCTGGTCAGTAACCAAAGTTACTCTAGAGGAAAAGGGTAAACTGAGCCTTTGGAAGTACCTTTTCATCATCAAACTGTTAGATCCTGAACTCCCTCCAAATCTGAGCTATCATCCATTTGCGCACTAGGTTATTCTCACCATGGAGCATGTGAGGACACAGATAGGAAGAAGACACACTCCTGCACAGGTGCAGCTCAGCATATAGTAGGGGAGCTGTGTAGACATAGATAGGTCCACACATTGCTACAAAAAAGGAAATAGCTCAAAAGGAGGTATGTTAAGGGCTATCAGAGTTAAGAAAGCTTGTTTTCTAGATTTAAAAAAAAAAAGCCCTGGGGAAATGGTAATAGAGTTGTGCTTTTGTTTTTCTTTTGAAAAATAATTATGGAAATAGGAAAGGACTTTCTGGGAGAGGAAAAATGTACAAAATTATGAAGAAAAATAGAATTTTTATTTAACAAGTGCAGCAATATGTAGTTCACTTAGCCAGTGTGAAAAGGAGTTAAAGGGAAAAAATCGAGAAATTAGTAGACCACAAGATGCCATTCTAAATACAAGCCTACTTCCAGAGAAAAGGCCCTAAGAATTGAGGTGTGTATGTGTCACAGAAACAAACAGCTACAAGTAAGGTATTTTGGGGGGACCTATATGGCTAGGCTCTACCACTAAGGCAGGATAAAGAATAGCTGGAAATGTCTAGAAGGGCTGCCAGAGGGAATGACTAGCCAAGTATCCAGTAAGTTAACTGCAGCTTTCAAGGCTGGGAAGAGCCCCTGAATTGAAGAAAAGTAGGACAGGCAGTTCGGCTCGCCAGAACCAAGGGGTTAAAAATCCCAAATTACTCCTTAAGCAACAGTGGATATTTTAAGGATACCTCATCAATTCATCTGAAATGAGCAAGCTGAGCCCAAAGCTGGCAGGAGGCCATTAATGGGCTTCCCAGGATCCAGAGAAGACTTGAAATCCTACTCCTAATACTCTCGTAAGTATGTGATTAGGGAATGGGAAAGAAGCACTTTTAAGTTCTTTAATAGAAGCTCCCCGTTTAAGGGTCCTTTTCCCAAAAAGGAATGTACTCACGTTCACAAGCATCGTGACCTAAAAATCAGAAGTTACAAACGAGGCCTCCGATCATGTGGCCTCTGGTTCAACACACCATCAGGAAATGTGGATGTTAATATTCAGCTTAGTACATAATGGCCTTCACACACACACACATTACACACTCTAATGTGCAAATTATTCAGATTTACATACTTCCTGAGAGAGCTGCATGACCAATACCCAAATGTGAACAATCATAGTTTGTCATCCTTTCAAGTGAAAATTGTATTCCATGAAAGAAAAAAAAAGAGAAAAGGCTAGGTCACCTCAATAAATGCGTTTCCTCAAGACAACCATTATAGTTTGGTATGCAGTAAAAGGACTTTATGTGAACTTTCCATTTTGTCAAAACATAGAATTTTCAAAGGATACATACTCAAAGGTTAAACTTTAATAAGATTAGTAATTCTTACTGCTTCAGTGAGGATATTCCTAAGTAAAATTGGGGTTTTAAACCTCAGGCATGTAGCAGTGAATAATAAAATGATTATTGGTACAGTTTAGTGACAGTTGCCGGATTCATGCCAAGGCACAAGAAGTTTTACCCACTGTACTCTCACTGTAAATGTCAGGATTATTAGTGTTAATACTACTGGTACTACTTAGGAAATCGATCTCAGGAAAGGAGTTAAGAACTCGGAGATTGATGCTTCAGGAGGGGCTGTGGTATGGTACAAGAGACTTCGGACTCACAAGACCTGAATTCAGTCACCACAGTTCATCGGGTGGTTGATTTCTATAGGCCTCAGGAGCTTGCTGAGCCTCCTTCTTCATAGATACAATTGGATGATGACCCCTTCCCAGAGTTGTTCTGAGAAACTAAATGCTACCGTGACAGCTCCTCATGTGCCTCAGCCCTGTCTGTGTTCTTATGTCTTGCAGACTGATGAAGAGAAGAGACAGGGGCTCCCTGTGGTGATGCCAGTGTTTGACCGGAATACATGTAGCATCCCCAAATCCCAAATCTCTTTCATTGACTACTTCATAACAGACATGTTTGATGCTTGGGATGGTAAGAGAGTTGGTGTTTTGTCACCTCAACAGAATATCTTGTTCTGCTTTATGATGATAACCCCTAAGGACATAGGCTGGGCCTACAGGTGTATGTGAAATGTTGTTTGTTTGTTTTTTTTTTTTAAGTTAGCTATGGTGGCGTGCATGTCCACTTTCTGCATTGCCAGCACCTTGCAGAGAACCTCTGAGTACAGAAGACTCCATGGACGTTTGATAACTGGATCTACAAGTCTTCACTTCTTCAAAGCTTAGGGTTTCAAAGCTTATAGCAGTTTTTCCTATCATTGGAGGAAACTCTAGAAAGAATACCCAAAGAATCTGATTCAGAGTAGACTTAATACATTTTGTAATGTTGCTGATAAATGGCTCTTCCACTTTTAACTAAGAGGACCTGTTTGTATTTCAGAAACTAGTGTTTAACGATCTACCCTTCTCATGCTTGTATGTTCATGTGTAGTATAAGGCCTGACCTAGGGTACCTCTCTTCCTATATTGAGCCTCCATATGTCTCACAGAGCACCGGCCTTCTAAATGTTCCTGGCATCTAACCTGTGATTCTTTGATGTCCTTGCAGCCTTTGCCCATCTGCCAGCCCTGATGCAACATTTGGCTGATAACTACAAACACTGGAAGACATTAGATGACCTAAAGTGCAAAAGTCTGAGGCTTCCATCTGACAGCTAAATCCGAGAGAGAAGGGGACCTCTTGATCTGCAACGGGCACTGTGAATCACAGTAGTGTAAATAAGAGGCTTTCCTTTATACTGAAAAGACAGGTGTAGGTTAAGGGGTTAGTGTTTAATTTTTGACTTTGAATCATTCAAGTCCCAAATTGCATTTTTAGAAAGTTACGTTCCATTAAGAAAAATATTTTTTCTTTTGAACACTTAGTGATAGTGTCCTCATCAAACTATGGAGCTCATTTACTCTAGCAGGATACAAGCAGCAAAAACTTGGTGCCTGTGAGCCCATCTCTGTGGATGACACAGCTTAGCTAGTGTTCAGCTCATCTCTTACCATAAAAGTCAACATTGCTGTTTAGCTTGACTATTTTCCTCAAGAGCACCAGTCTGAAAGATTCATAAAAACCCCTAAGGAAAAAAACTATTTATAAAATGAGCAAAACAACTAGGACCAAATTATTGATAAACTAGTTTCACAGCCTCTGTGGCTAAGCAGTTCTTTTGATCAAGGGGGTGACACCCTAGGTAGACCACAGCCTGGGCCTGGTGAGTGCCTTCTGAAGACTGGTAGAAGCAGCCTGTGTAGCCTTCTTTCCTCTAAAAGCAATTCACCTTAACAGTGAGCCATTCACGGTAGGGAAGGGACTGACACCTTGTTTGGGGGGAATCCACGCACTTCCCTTGTTTCTGGTTTACAGAGGCAGTCACAAGGCCGTATAGTGAGTATTATATAAAAGCCATTAAACCTGAATGCCCTTGGATAAGATTTTTTAAAAAAGAAAATTTATATACATTCACAGTTTAAAATTTTTATTAAAGCAATCTGAATTTCCTGGGTATAAGTCCATGGAGTATGTTACGCAGTGTACCATCTATACATAATGTATTTGGGGAGGGATGGGGAAGTTTCAGGGTTCAGATGTTTTTAATCTGTATTTGAGACCTTGCCATTTTGCTTTAATGATGTAAAACAGAAAAGACTGCAAGGTGTGTAAATATATCAGAAAACAGACGTAAGGGGAAGCAGTAAATACTATTTTAAGCTATTAATTGTATGCTAAAAGCTTCTAAAGCACAAGTGCATATTTTTATACAGCTCTTTTGAAAACTTTCTGTGATCTCCATAAAGTCAGACTTGAGATTTTCCTTTCTCTTTTACCGGCCACCTGTTCTCTATGTGTTGTAAATATTAGAAACTCCGTAAACAAAATAGCTTCATTTTCTTTTCAAATCCTCTGTACTCCATGCTGCATTTTTCAGAGGTATAAACAGAGACTGAATTGGAATGCAGAACACTGGAAACTAGGAAATGGGAAGAAAAAAAATGACATCACTACATAATGTGCCAATGTTTTTTTCTATGTTTTGTACCAAAAAAATGAAAACCTATATGATAATTCCATGCACAGAAATGTATCTAAATTATTTTTGTTAGATGATAAGCGAATGTGCTTGGTCAGGACAGCAGCCTGCTTTGTGTTGTGATGCTGCATTATGTAAATGTGATGAAAATGTTTTTGTGAAGTACTTGTAACTAAATTCCTACAGCCATTTTTCATTCCCAACAGCTGTTTTTATTTCATCTCTTTGGCCTAAACTTTTCATTATTTCAGAATTTCGCTTTAGTGTCCTTTATTTCATGAATCACAAACTTTATTTTCAGACACATTAAGTTTAGGATGTCAAAATCCCACTGTAATTTGCCGAGGTTTCAGAAGCTTGCTTGAGGCAAGGACAATATTTTCCTCACCATGTTGCTTTCACTTCCATTTGGTAAGTAACATTTATCAGATGTCTGACATGTTCTATATGAATGTTACAGCTTACTCCTTATAATGTTAAATTAATTTCATAAGAACTCAAATGTTAAATCCTCGAAGACTGCCAGGTACTAAAGCTTTAACACAGCTATGTCCTTTATCAGTGTCATCTATTGTGGAGTAATCTTCTGAATTGCTAACTCAATATTGCATTCCTCTATACAGTCAATTTATTAGAAATATAGTCTTTCAGAAGCTATACTTTATACTTAGTTGTTTACCAAAACATTCTGCATTAAGGGGAGCCACATTAATTTAGAAAAATTCTAATCTAATACAGGTAGAAGACCCTTAGTACCATGAAGGTCATTCTTTATTTCCAATTTCACTTTATAAAATTGGCTTGCTGTCTAAGCAACTCAGGGCTGGTTAGTCTTGGGGGCAAAGAACCAGCCTCAAGCTGAGAAAGGAATAATACAGTGCCTCAGAAATCTAAGCTCTTGATTGTATTATGTGAATACAGCCAGAGGATGCGGCCATAAGGGCCTGCAACTTGTTGCAAGTTCAACTTTTTAGCAGCAGTCCAGTCTGGGCTGTTACTACAATCTCCCATCTTTGTGAGTTGGAGCTTTCACCTATGGTTTCCATCACTCCGCAGGAATAGATTACTACCTGAAAATGCTACCCCAAAACATATTAGGAAATAAAGCAGTTAAAAATCTATGAATTCCTTGTATAAGTCATTGAAGAGGTCTTACACAACTCAAGACCTCATGTAGAATTTCCAAAGAAAAAGCTAGCTAGTAATGGAAGAAAGTCCATCTATAGAGGAAAATTTAAAAGCTTGAAAATTAACTAAAGTGAGAAACAATATGATGCACTAAGACTAGAAGGCATGTCTGCCTGGTTTAGGGATACTACTCAAGCTCTAACGTTAGGATGAAAACTTAGAAAGCTGGCAGAGAGATTTTAATAGATTTCGCCATAAAGCTATCTTCATTGTGAATTAAAAATAATAGTATCGCTTGCCTTGACTCATTCCTAATACTAGGGCACTGGTGTGGCACAGATGACTTTAGGTCTTTGCATCTGTGGATGGTTGGGGAAACAACAGTTTATACAGATTCCATTTAGGCTGTATGGGCTGAACACATGAGTCAGCAGAAAGGGGAAGGGTCACCCACTTTTCTTTTTAAATTTTTATTCTTTAGTACCCAAAGGGAGGAAAGTATTCTGTTTTAAGGTTGCTGGGGTGAGGAAGATGATTAAATCTGAGTGGTCACTGCAAGTAACTACACAAATGAAGTCATTCTCAAGTATTTCCTATCTGAAGCAATGGTAAGACAAATCAAGCACTTTGGGCTCACCGTCTCTGACCTGCGACAGAAGTCTTTAGTGACCTAGCTGTCATCCCTGGCCTCTATGAGGGGCAGGTGCTGGTCTAGTACCAATCTAGCTAACAGTTATTTGGCTGGGGGCAGGGGGGGAATATACCCTTATAAGATTCCTATTGATCTGAGTTTAGAGGAATTGTAGTAAACTAAAACAAAAAATGATTGATTTGGCACCACCAACAAAAAAAAGTACATGTACCTTTTAAAAAAATTAATTTTTGGTGGTAATAATGTAGAGGCAACAAAAGTATGCTAAATAAAGGGAGTGAGAGGTCCGAGGACTTTTCTTTGTTAAACATAAGCTCATACAATTTCTGGTATAGAATTTTCTTTAAGCCTAATTAAAGAATTTTCTATACAGATGCCATGTATAATTTAGTTCTGTATCAACCAATATTTGTGCTCTGATCTGAGTACTTTTGAAAATTCACTGCTAAAATTAGACCCATTTCTTAAGTTAAATACCTGAGAAGCAAGTTGCTGCTGGTTTGCAGGCCCACCAAAAAAAAAAAAAAAAAAAAAATTCAACCAGAATTCTATGGAGTAACAAGAAAAAGTAATACATTACAAGGGGCACTTGGCTGGCTTAGTCATTACAGCATATGACTCTTGACCCCAGGGTTTTGAGTTCAAGCCCCACACTGGGTGTGGAGATTACTAAAAATAAATAATACAATACAAATTTGAGTATTACCCTATATTTGATGTTCAAGGTTCATGCACAAGTATTCCAAATTCCTTCAACTACACAGCAAGATGTAAGTCACCATTCTCCTCCAGTTTTTGAAATAATTTTAAACTGCGCAATCCAGATTCTCTTTCTCCATTTTTCCACAAAATAATGAGATGATCAGCAGAACAAGTCACTAGTCCATGATCTTCAAAGTACAGAAACATCTGTAAGGACATTTAAAGCTACTGATTATAGGAAATTTAAAGAGAAGAGGCAAGGCTAATTATACACTAACATGGCTTGTAAAATATGTACCTTGGAGACTTCTTTGGTTTTGAATATAAAACTCCTTATCACTTTTCATGAGAAATTAATGGTCTATTTATATGACTAATATCCTGTATTTTAATCAGAACTGTAACAGCTATTTTTTTGTGTGTGTGAAATACATGAATTCCCATTGAATCTTCTCAATTTTACCATAATCTAATTCTTCAGGTATTGGTTTTATATCAGAAGTCCTGCCAGAATTGCTTCATTTATTGTACGCACTAATAGCTACCAGTAAAATGTCTGAATTCCAAATTCTGTACGATAAACACTGGCTTCAGCTCTCTAATCAGTCAGTAAGCATTTACTTAGGGAACCCAGCATAATAGATGGCACTACCATGAAAAAGGTGCTAGTTCAGTTGTTAAAACAAAGACTATATAATCAGGTCCTAAAAAATGTAGTTCACACTATGATTTGCCACAGAAAAAGGGAACATAGATCAGTAACCACTGAAAATGTCAACGGTTCAAAAACAAAATTTCCCAAATAAAGGGAAGGTCATGCATAGTGAAAGGCTGGGAGCTAAGAATAAAAAATACGGAGTGTTGGTGAGAAGGCAGCATGAACACCGATGAAGAACAGAGCTCCTCAAAGGCAAGACTGAAATAAAGGATAGAAATACAATATTAAAGTACAAGAGGATGAGAGTTCTCTCTGAAATAACACAGTTTTGAAGATAGCACGATAAGGCCTCAGCTGATGGGATATAAGAGGGGCAATTATGGAAGCAAATACTACAGGAGATGGAAGAGAAAGAATTTAGATGGCTAGAGAGTAAGGATAAAAATATAAAAGGAATGAGGAAATTGAGGTAACAAAAGAGGAAATGTCCGCGACACTTAAAAAAAATACTTCAGGGTCAACACTTGACGGCAAATATGCCACTTTGAATGTTTCCCCCACCATTTAAAAACCTTTAATGGGTACCTATTTTAAAAATTAAGTCCAAATTCTTCAGCCTTACATACAAGGACATTCATAATCTGACCCAAAACTACTTTCTCAGGCTTAATCTACTGGCGTCTATTCACGGGAAACCACTGCTCCAGCCTAGCCAGTCTGCTCTTTGCCAGCAAGGAGATCCTATCTTTGCACTTGTGTCTACCACATTACATCCTTACTCCCCAACTACACTATAACCACCTAAGCAAAGTTAAAAAGCAGGACAAAATGAAAACAATTGGGCTACCTGTTAGAGGAAAGCAAAGATAAACAAGACAGGATACCCAACATCAGGAAACTTACTGTCATAAGGCTATCTATGTTAACCCTCCCTAACCTTCAAGGTACAGGTCAAGTCCATTTTCTATCTTCCACTAACCATCTTCTCCTAATTCCGGAGTACTCACTGGGTACAATCATCTGGGTCTATCCTAAACAGCTTAGGTTAACAGCTTACTAGATCTAGAGCCTTCCTGTCTACTCAAGTATGAGTCCCAAGAGGGTAAGGATTATGTTTTAGGTTTCTTTGTAAACTCCAGTGTCTAGTACACTGCCCTAAAATAGAAGAAATGAATGCTAGGCATAAATGCACTTCCACACGGAAAGTAATTCGTTCCTCCCTGGCAATGAGGGAAAAACAATTCAAGAAATTCAATCCTTAAGGCTCTGCTTATACTGTTATCAGTTCCAATCATCTATCTCAATTGATCTTATTCCTTTCATTATAGGCAACAGTGTATATAGTAAAATACTAATGTATTTGGATTTCCCCAAGTTTGAACATTTTCGTATATGCATAACGCTAACCAAGCCCTGTGTTTTATGCAGCTAACAATATATCCTTCAAAAGGAGGTAAAAACAGGGCTCTGTTCTTGAATTTGATTAAGACCCCCTGAATTCAATTCTGGAAGACTTTAACTCTACATATAACCCCAACTGTCCACGCACCCTCTACTACTGTTAAACATATGTATTCCACGTTATTCACCTTGTCCCATTGTTGGCTGTCTCCATCTCACAAATAATGGTGATTAAGCCCATATTTAGAAGTAAAACATTCCTTGCTTACTCACATGGTATCTCTGTAAAGGGAGATCTTAATTGCATGTACTATAACCTATCCATGTTTAGATTCAGAAAAAAACGATACCAACTGAGTGAAGAGCAGCGAGATGCCAAAGTGGGAATTCCCTAAACCTTTATATGCCTATTAAAAATCATACCTCCACAGATGAGGAGTGTCCAATCAAATCTCCAATAAGCTCCAATGAACACGGAGGGGCATTTTCCTGTTGCTTTTTAACAGGTTGGCTGGCTTGTTTGTTTACTCTTCCAAATCCCCACATGTTAAAAAAACCTAGAAAAGTAATCATTTCAGTCATTCCCAAAATTACTATGCTCTCTACTCAGAATAAAAGATCAGAAAAACAGAAAAGTTAAATGTAAATATGTTACTTCCTTTCATCTTAACTACAAGGTTTGTTGCTCATCTCTTTTATTGCCCCTCCT